AGGCAGGTGACTTTCTTCTCCAGCCTCATCAGTCCTGGGCTCCTCCTGAGGATGCCACCCCAGGAACTGGAAAGAGGGGCAGGCCAGAGGCCGCAGAGCTGCATCGGTATAAATACTGCACAGGCAGGTGACTTTCTTCTCCAGCCTCATCAGTCCTGGGCTCCTCCTGAGGATGCCACCCCGGGAACTGGAAAGAGGGGCAGGCCAGAGGCCGCAGAGCTGCATCGGTATAAATACTGCGTCAGTGTTCCCAGAACAAACTTACCTTTTATACAGTGTCGTCTTAGTCTATTTATACTAAATGCGTGCTATGTGTCATTAGGGGATGATGTGTAGACTTTTTATATGCTTTGTATGTAAATGCTCAGTATGTATAATTTCATATGTGACGTCTATTTGTAGTTGGGAAAATTCATGACAGTGTGCTTCTCCAGTGGGATTTGGTGGCATTTTTGCCTTGGTCTGCGGTCAACCCTGGAGAGCAGGATCTTTTATGGCAACCACTCATCCAGAAGCCAACCCCCAAACCTAGACATTCGTGAAAAGGCTTCTGAGCTGCCAACGTAGAGGAGCAGCACAGGCCCTCACTTCAGAGCCCAACGATTCTTGCTTTACACGCCATGAGATCAGAAATGCTTCTCTAGTTTGAAAAACCACAAAGATTGGATGCTATGGACTAGAAGCAGAAAAGCACAGTGATAGCGGTGAAAAGTGACAAGTGACAGAGCAATGTCAAGGGAGGAAAAGAGCTACAAAGAGCAGACCCAGAACTAAAAAGCACAGCAGAATGGAAGCACAGTGTGCAGGAGACCCGAGGCCCCACCGCATGGTGGCCTCCAGCAGTACAAAGCCATGAGGAATGTCCATGGCAGTGACATTGAGCCTTCAGGAAGTGGTGGGATCGTGCTCTTTGTTTGTTCAGGGGAAAGGGAAGGAGAGGGACTTTATTTTTAAGATTCCCATGGAGAATGGTGAAACACACTCTGTGTGCAGCACCCACCTGAAAGTGCCAGGAAAAGGGACGTGTCACCTCTGCTGCACTTGGACTGAGTTTTCCTCATCTGGAACTCAAGTTGAGGGGCAGAGAGAGGATGCACCGGCTATAGCAGGGGCCGGGTAGTGAGGGTTCAAGACAGAAGTGAGAGAATTGGCCTTGGAGCCTGGCCTGTCTAAAGGGTCTGAAGGACTTTAGAGGCAGGCAGGTCCACCAGGCCAAGCATGTCCTACTTGCACCCCTACACGGGACCAGGACCCAGGCCACCCAAAACCAGCCCTCTCAGGCACCACCTGGAAAGGGACTGGGCTGACTCCATGTTGGGCCCTGAAGCCAGAAACACAGATTTTCCTTGCCAGGGAATTCTGGAATGGTCCCCAAGTGCTTTACAACTGGACCAAGTTTTCTCTAAATCAACACTAAATTTTCCCTTCTTAAAAAATACTTAGTGCCCACTCTTTACAAATGATTTTCTCTCTTCAGCCACAAATAAGAGCCCAGAAGGGATTTCCTCAGCCTTTATATCAGACTTTGGAATCGTAAAGTGTAATAGATGCCAAAAGGCTCTTTAACAAAGGGGAAACTGAGGCCCTAGGAGGGTCCTGCTCCCAGCACCACTGCTCTCTCGCACACCCTGTCCCTCTCCCTTCCTCGCATCAGGCCCAGCCTCAGCACCGCTCTCACCACGGGGACCCGAGTCCCTAGTGACGAGTAATAGCTGGACATCATGAAGCAGGAAAACAGTGCTGCTGGGGAAGCTCTTGGCTCTGACTCAGAAAGCACACTTCTGTCCAGATATGTGGAAACCAAGCCACAAAGCTGTTCTCTGCAGGTGACTGCTTTACCAGAAAATCAGGGGCTGAGTGAACCAAGACCTCAGGCCCAGGCAGCCAAGCCCTCATGCCCAACAAGTTGTTTTGTCCAGCCTAGAAGGCCAGAGCTGTGGCAGGGGACTTTGAACATTTCCGACTTCACCGGTGAGAAGGCTGAGGCCCAGAGAGGGGAAGTGACTTACCCAAGGCCACACAGCAAGAGACAGTGAGGCCAGAGCACAATCAGCCACCCCGGCCCCCAGGCAGTCAGTGCCCTGCTCAATGCAGCACTATCCCCCCATATCAGCAACTTCAAAAAAAAAAAAGAAAGAAAAAAGAAAAGGCTGTTTATGGTGAAAACGGCGTCACATGTACCACGTGTTGGGGAAGGAAACACTGCAGCACGTGGCCTGTGGTGGGAATGTCTAGAAAGAAAAAAGAAAAGGCTGTTTATGGTGAAAACGGCGTCACATGTACCACGTGTTGGGGAGGGAAACACTGCAGTACGTGGCCTGTGGTGGGAATGTCTGTGTATATTTTTTAAACTTTGATAATGATGCCATAAATTCTGCTTGTTTGCATAATTGTTTTTTTAAATAGAGAATTGATATTTTCATTACTTTCATATAAATACAGTTGTAATGATATAACAGCCCATTTACTGGTGCTTTCAAATGTAATGTCTTTCACTTAAAGTGGGGGCAGACAATTATTATTTTTATGACTTCACTGTCTAGCCTCCTTAACAACTACCCTCAAGAGTGCCATTTGAGAAAAGGGTCGCAGTGATGTCCGTTGTTCCTCTGTCCCCTGCATGTGTGCATTGTTCCTCTGTCCCTAGAGTGAGGGGGTCTTAGAGTTGCTGGTAAGAAATGTGATTGTCACGGCCCCGCGCAGGGGTGTGGATGTGTGTGTACATGTGGGGGCGGGGAAGGGAGGAGGAGAGCACGGTGGTAAAATCGATGCCAGGTGAGAAGGACAGGGACGGACAGCAGCCGAGGCCAGGACACCCCAGGGTGCCGGGAGCTGGGGGAGGGCGGGGGACTCCTGACCATGGGATGGAGATGCGCCTCGTTTGGTGCATGCAGGTGCCTGGCCCCCTGGCTGGTGCTTTGCAAGCCCGTTTTACTCAGTTCAGAACAACCCGTCCCCTGGGTTTGACATTACTTTATCCCGTGTTTGAGATGAGTAAACTGAGGCTTACAGACACAGACAGTCGCCCCTGCCAAGGTGGAATTTGAAGCCAGGTTGGCCTGATCCTGAAGCCCATGCTGGGAGGAGGGGGCTTCGGGTCACTCCTGCCACTTGCAGGCTCCGCAGCCTGAGGATTGATGGAGTGAGCCAGCAGCACCCTGCCCTCTGCTCGGCTTTGGTGGGCCGGAGCTGGCATCTGCATGCGTCCCAGAAGGGTCTCCACCAGCAGCACATTCACAGGGGTCACCTTCCCACTGCTCAGGGAAGCAGGACTTTCCACCCAGCTGGGGGATGAACCCCTCTTTCACCCCACTGTGAAGTCCTTGCTCATGAATGTCACTCCGCATCCCCAGTGCCCAGCACAGGGTGGGAACTTGGCTGTGGTTTGCATGAAATACCCAGAAGTGAGTGTGTTTCTGACACCCAACCTCTGTCCTGGGTGCAGAGGACCTGGGTTCTGGATGACAGGACCCAGTCCCATCTTTGGGGCCTCGTTTGTCTCAGGCAGCTGGCTGAAGTTCCCAGCAAGGACTGGGGCTCCAAAGATGCTTGTCTCTGGACAATGTCAGGGGAAGGAAGCTGGGGACCAAGAAGAATGACAGGCAGAGGACAGATAAAGGCCTGAATGTGGACAGTTGTGCCAACTGTTTCCTGCTGGCCAGGTGGGTGCTGATGGCATTGGCTTGCCCTGCCTTGTAGGGGATGGCTCAGGCTGCCTGGCAGAGGCTCTGGAGATCTGGACTTGGAGCTGGACTGGCTGGAAAAGACAGACAAAGGGGTGGGGCAGAGGGAATCCAAGGCAATAGATGATGTCAGACCTAATGCCACTGAACTTGACACTAAAAAAGGTTAAGATGCTAGATTTTATGTTATTTATATTTTACTGCAATTTGAGAGAGAAGAAGAGAAAAAGAGGGAGAGAATGTCAGGCTGTACCTTCGTAGTTTCCAGCTTTCATTCAAGGACAAGGACCGGTGGCAAAGCTTTCACCGACCAAAAGAACAGATGCCTTGAGTGTGTCCTTACATAGGGTTTTATTTCATCTAAAGGGCAGCTCTTCGGTCTGAGGTCACATCCTTCCTACTTATTGCTCAGTGGCCGTTAGGAAAAGAGCGATGGGTAGGAGACGGCTGTGTCTTCTTTCATGGTTTATATTCTGTTTCTGAGTTCTCATTGGATAGAATAGAAGTTGCCAACTCTCTGTTGGTTTTGCCCCGATATAGTGGACTGAAGAACATGGAAACCTAAAGTCTGAGAACCCTGCTAAAGAAGGTCAGGAGGGGAGAAGAGCCTGAGGGATCCTTTGTTAGGACGCCCAGAGGGAGAGAGGGGGGAGAAATGGGAAGGGGGACAATGTGGGCGTTTGCAGCAGCTGGGCAGGGAGAGGCTGGAGCCTGCCAGCAGTAGCCTTTCAAGAAAGA